GAGTATTATCATTTTTAATCACCAAACTTCAATTAAATTATATAGAAATGTTCTCCAAGGTTCATAGATCATTTTGGAATCATTAAAACATATTTTTAACATCAAATTCAAGGTTTATGATTCTTGGTTCTTAAACATGTCAAACACAAAACTCAACCAAATGACCATTTATGAACGTAGAAACGACCTATATGAACATTCTAGTCATTAGATATATCTACGGGCTTACCTCGAAGCGTAATGGAGGTTTTGAAGATTTTCCGGCAAAACTTCCGGGGACAATAGCTCTCAACTCCGGCGACCTCACATTAAATTGACAGCACCACTGCGTTCTCTACACTCAAGGCTATCTCTCAGATCAAATTTGATGAAGAATGGTGAAGAAATGGAGGGTTTATATAGTGAGGTGAATGGAGAAGGAGACATGGAGGATGACACCAATTCTCCTATTTTGGCGTCTCAGTGGAGGGGACGGCCGATTCCTATGATTCCAAACGCAAGTCCCTGATTGGGACTAATTTGGTCCAGTCGGGGAACACTTTTTGGTCCAACTTTTTCCGAATTGAAATCTGATTGAACCGTTGCGGTCAGATAGTCAAACTCTACATAACGATATAATTTTTATTATTTATTGACAAACTTTATAATTCACATATTTTTGGGTCCTTCTCAGTAATTAATTAATTATCAATTAATTAATTCTGATAGGCCTATTTTTGGGGCGTTACATAAAGTTTGTCAATAATTAATAAAAATTATATGATTATGTAGAGTTTGATTTTCTGACCCCAACGGTTCAATCGGAGTTCAATTCAAAGTAAGTTAGACCAAAAAGTGTACCCCAACTTAGACCAAATATTAGTCTCAATTAAGGACTACGTACCAAACGGCGCCCTGTTCAATTACGCCGATTCCAAAATCCGAATCACCGTGCAATCAAGGAAGCTGCAAAACCTGTGTCTTCTTCCTTCACCAATTGGCTATTTAAGGAGACCCAACTCCTTCATTTCCTCACCAAAACAATTCATTCTTCCTTCTATATTGTTCCTTACTGAGAGTAGAGTGCAGTGGTGTTGTCATCTTTGTGTGAGGTTGCCAGAGCAGTGAGATATAGTCGCCGGAAGTTTTGCCAGAAAATCTTCAAAACCTCCATTACGCTTCGAGGTAAGCCCGTAGATATATCTAATGACTAGAATGTTCATATAGGTCGTTTTTACGTTCATAAATGGTCATTTGGTTGAGTTTTGTGTTTGACATGTTTGAAGAACCAAGAATCATAAACCTTGAATTTGATGTTAAAAATATGTTTTAATAATTCTAAAATGATCTACGAACCTTGGAGAACATTTCTATATAGTTTAATTGAAGTTCAGTGACGAAAAATGATATTTCCGAAAAATGGACCGAAGGTTGAAGAAGATGAACAATAACCCGAAATCAGCACTATCAGGATCGATCATCTTACATGGATCAATCCTCTAGGAGGATTTTTTCACTGTCTGGATCGGTCCCCCAAAATTCTGACCCGAAAGTTTGTCTGAAAATGCTCTTTTTGAGTGGATAGGGATGAAAAGCATTCAAAAAAACTAGCCGTTTGGTAGTTGAAACTGTCGAACTATTGACTTAGTCGACTAGTTTTCAGGGATTTAGTCGAATAGTTTTCAATTTATTCGAATAGTTTGCTGAAAAAATGTGTTTTAAAGGTAGGATGATAAGGGAATAAACCTTAGAGATGCCATACTCTTTAACACAAAATCTAAGACCTAAAACACTACCCAACTAAGGAAACAACCTCTTCGGTCTCGTTCTTTCCACCGATGCTCAAGTCCCTTCTTCACGGACGGATATGAACTTGTTGTAGCTTTGATTCTTAGCCTTGATGCACAAAATGATGATGATGTTTTGTCACACTTTTGTCATTATCAAAACCTAAAAGACAATGGGCAAAGGACATTGCAAATATATTCATGATAGCACATTGTCCAACAGCATAAAGGGGCGAGGTGGTCGTGGTGGATTCATGATTTAAAATGTTTAAATTATATAGTTATGAGACATGATTTAAATTGCTTCTGCATTTATTTAAACACTCCGTATTTCTCTACAGTTATGTATGGGATATTATCTATAATGAATAAAAATGTTTGAAATGTTTTAAATTATCATGATTACCAAATCAATACTTTAGTCCGAAAGGGGCTGCAGACCTGGATGGATTAGGGTGTTATAGTATGATTTCTCCTTTTATTTATTTCATGCGCATAGAGGATAGTGGTAAGTTTTGTTGTGACTAATGATGATATGGGGGTTATGCTTTGAAATTATTTACTGGGATAAAAGAATGCCATGTATATTTGACCTGTACCATTGTGGCGTAGCTAGGAACATAATGATTGATCTGTGATAGCCCTTATTTGTTTTGATGTTTATTTGGGAGGATGTTAAAGAACTGTGATGCTTCCTGATGTGTTGGTCCCTGTGTGTGCTTGCTGAGTTCTTTGGTAGTACTTGTTCATGGTCCCTGTCCCATTAAGTGTTAAGTACTTGGGGTTTATGATGCAAAAAGTATTGCTTTTACTGAGATAATCCTCATTTTCCATATATGATGTGCTATTCTATGCAAAATGTTATTCACTTTGCCCTGAGGTCTACCACACTCAATGTTGTTTGTGTTTTGGCCCTGAGGTATAAGGTATCTACTCTTTGCATTTGCCTAAGATAATTTATGACACTAATACTCTCTTACTCCCCATTTTGATTACAATATTCCCTGGGGTATAACCTGTCCCTGCTTTAAATTTTCCTGAGATCAGTGATGACACTGTCCCAAATGGATTACAATAATCCACATCTTCATTCCTGAGATCTGTGATGGAAAATTATCTAAGTTGTGTGTTTGGGTGCTCTGTCTGTGTCTGGACTACATTCTTAACATACATATTGCATTACTACAATTCCATAGCCCCACTTTTGATGTACATACAGAAATTCCATACCCAAAAACCCAAAAAGCAAAAAAGTAAGGGGATGGATTTTAAAAGTATCCTATCCCCACTTCTGATGTACATACATAAATTCAATACCCAAAAAGCAAAAAGTGAAAATGGACAGTACACTTAGATTAGTACTTGTCCCCAGAGCATTGCACACAAGTAGCAAAAACACAAAAAGGATAAAATTTAAACTTTCATACACCACCTTCTGATGCTATGAAATTCTGAGCAGCCACAACATCATCCATCTTAACTTGAATGTTATCTCGTAACTGATTCATTATCTTCAACCTATCTTTTCTCATGTGTGGAATCTTATACTGGTTACCCCTTTTTGCTTTATAATCTCTTCCATGCAACATTGGTAGGTTAAGAACACCTTATTCAGTTTTTGTGGAGTCATTTCTTTAAAGGCTTTTTCCACATCACCGATCAAATCTTTAACATTCTTTGGAGCTTTTTGATCTTTGATACTGTCAATAGCTCTAAAGAATTCCAAGTCCAAAACATTTAAGTCAGGACTGTTGCGAGGCTAGAATTGCAGTCTAATATCCCAACCATTCTCTTGACAAACTTGTACAATTTCAAGGTCAGCAGGGTCAACATGTGGTTTTGCATTATCTTGTTGTATGATAATGTGCTTGTTATGAGGATCAGGCCACTTCGACTTCATTTCTGATATGACTCTAGTAAGCATCATTGCCTTCATTACTTGCCTGTTTACAACATCTACTGGCTTTGTTTTCAGTGTTCCAGCCGGCCTATTCTTACAATTTCTTTTAGCAACTTCCTCATATGTAAAGGGAAAATTTCCAACCTTCCCATCCCACAATGTTTCACCACTTTCCCCAAACCTTGGCCTCCCCACTACTGCTACAAACATGATTTTTAGAATGAACTTTTTTGACTGTATGGTTCTATATGGGTCATCCTCAGTTGGTAAGGTGTAAAAGGTGGTTGTTTCTTGGCTTAACTGAAACCATTTCTCATTAATGTGAATATGATCATAAAAGTGATGAAATGTAGGGTTCATGGGAATGGTATCAGGTACTAAGTTATCTAAACAAAACCTTAACCTTTTTAACTTACCCAAGGGTGTCAAAATGGCATTTGAATGACACTTTATCTCCTTCCTTTTTAACAACCTGTGCAAAGTTGTTTTTGACACATTAAGTTGGCTTGCCACTGATCTCAAATTTTTCCTTTTGCATAGAGGAACTTCAGCCAGCTTTTGTAAATCAAGATCCAACTTTTTCCTACCAACACATCCTTTCATGTTTGGTTGTACATCTACGGGCAGTCCTTCTCTCATTTGTTCTTTAGCTTTACACCACAACAAGTATATGGTCTTATAACATGTGTTATATTCTTGTACCAGTGCTGAAATGACCCCCCCTCTGAAGTTTGTTATTCGTAGATGTTGATAATAATACGTCAATTATGCGTTTTCTTACCTCCATTGAGAACCTTGGCTTGCTTCGCGCCTGCTGTTGGTTTTCTTCATGTTCTGCAGGTGACGTGTTCTGCCCGGTGTGCACAGTCGCAGAAGCTGAAAGATGTGCAAGACTTGCAACTGAAAGACGTCCAGCATCGGGGTCTGGATTGTTTGAAGCTCGATGTCCATTGAAGAGGAGTGAGGTTACGGCTGGTTCTGGAGCTGTAGGGAAACAAACACCTTTAAAAGCTGCATGTTCTAATGCTGACAATGGAGGAACTTCATTCAAATCAAATGGAAATAAAGGAAAATCCATTGAAGGAAAGGGTCTGCAGAGAATTAAATCTGAAGAGGAAAGTTAGTAGTAAATGTAGTTATTTATAGTAACTGAAATATTGGAGGGAACTGAAAATTTTTGGAAACTTTTGGCTGTACTTTTCCCTCTATTGTCCATTACGGAGTATGTATTGTCCATTATGTAAACAGTGACTTTACTATTCATATTTGCTTTATTTCTACCCACTTTGAGCCTTTCCCACGTGATGAAGCATAACATGAAATTAGAGGGTATTTTGGAAAACTTTTGAGTGATTTGACTTATTATTAATATACACAAAAAGAGAATATTGTAATAAAAAAGGGGACGGATGTAATATAATAATAACTCTAACTATAATAGGTAACAACCATAATTATAATATATAATACTAAATATATTAAAATAATTAATATATTGATCAGTCGTTCAACCCCTTATTTTCTTTGTGGTATTACTTGGGAATTTGGTTTAGAAATCATCCTAAATAAGACTAAAACATAGAGAAAAGTACCAAAATAGGACTTTCATGTTTTTTTTCTCGGAATATGACTTTGCACTGTGGTAATGTGACTTTGCATTGTGGTAATGTGGCAGTGTACATGTGCAAATTACTATACTTTTTTGATAATGTATATGACCATGTTTGGTAATGTAAATCCTATTTCGGGAATAAAAACATGAAAGTCCTATTTTAGTATATTTTCAATGTTTTAGTCCTTGTTTGGTCTTTCTCGTTTTGGTCTTGGTGTTGGAGCCGAATTGATTTCGTCAGTACAATTTTGCAAATTGATTTGGCCACATGATTAGAGCAACAGATTAGAGAGCAAACTGATTTGGCTACTAGCGATTACAAATGTAAAAATTGTTGAGAATAAGACTAAAACTTTCGGAGTAATACTTTTCCTTACATAGGACAAATCAAGTTTTTTTTTTCTCTTTATAGGACTTATTTTGTAAAAGACTTCCGGATCTACCATGCCACTACACCATGGTGTTTGTGCTTTAGATTACTACTCGTTAATTACTCCTCAAATTTTGGAAATAATTTTATTACCCATTCCTAAATTTTGGATTTTTGGCAATAAACTAATTCATACTCCATTTTATGCGCGACACCTTTTGATTTGATCTACTAGCTCAATGTCTATTGTTACCATTTTCTTCATTTGTTTCTTTTACGAAATTTATTTTTAATTTTACATAAATATTGAGATAAAAGTTTAAAAATGATATATCTAAAATTAGAGTGCTTCTTTGATGCACCTTTGTTACATACTCCTTCCGTTCTCAAAAACTCTTCCTCTTTCATTTTTTTTACTTCCAACAAAACACTTCCACTTTCTATTAAAAAACCACTTTTACCCTTACTTTTTCATACCCTACCTATCATATCATACTTTTTCTCTAATACTCAATCCATCATATCTTACTTTTACCCATCACATCAAGGGCAAAATTGGAAGTCAACTACAATTTAACACTTCCTTATTTTTACACAAAGTCAAAATAGGAACACTTTTAAAAAACGGAGGGAGTATAATTTTTGTGGACCTTTTCACAGAAAAAATCTATTTATTTATTTTTTTATTAAAAAAATTGATGCTCATTTAAGTAATAAGAAAATGCTTATTTTACTCATATGTAGGTATGTGGTAGACCTTAGGTCCACCAAAAAATTTTCCCAAAAATTAACATAAAAGGTTTAACAAAAGAAGATGCCACAATGACATAATGCTATTCATGTTAGTTCTTTTTTTAAAAAATTATGGAGCTTTTGATTGTACAATTTTTATTTTTAAAACAAATTGAATTGAAAAAAATCAACCCTCCCCAACAACTAAAAGAGTCCTTACCCACAAAAAGAATTAAATTAAAAAAACCTAAAAATTCAATCAAAACAAACTTATCTCTCACACATCTCTCTATCTTCTCTCAATAATTCTGTCAAATATTCTTTCAAATATCTTTCTATTTATTCTATTTATTTCTAGAACATATTTAAAAAAAGGATCATCTGATGATGAAAAGAGAGCTCTCATTTTTCGTTGTTTCGCCACGAGTTGTTATCAATGGTGGAAACAAGGCAAAGAAGAAAGAGCAGAATCCTCGCGACGCCAGATCCAACGACAACGTTTAAACCGGAATCGAGCGGCTGCCCACGCTTCACTTCTCAATGACTACTTCAATACTCCGTGTGTTTATACACCGGAGAATTTTAGTAATCGATTTCGGACAAGTCGTCCTCTCTTTTTACGCATACTCACTGATATTGAACGCGAGGTGCCTTGGTTCACCCAACACTTTGATGCGAAAGGGCAATGTGGGTTTAACAGTGTCCAGAAGTGCACTGCCGCCCTTCGTTAGATGGCGTACAAGATGGAATTTGATATGTTCGACGAATACTTGAAAATGTCGGCTCGGAGCATCAGGTCATGTGTTCATAAATTTTCTAGTTCTATTATTCGAATTTATCATAAAAGATATTTACGTAAGCCTACAGCGAGAGACATTCAATAGTTACACGCGAGGCAAGCAACTAAACACAGCTTTGTCGGCATGTTTGGGAGTATTGATTGCACGCATTGGGAATGGAAAAATTGTCCCACTGCGTGGCATGGTCATTTCTCCCAGGGGATCATCCCAAGCCTACTATCATGCTCAAAGTTGTTGCTTCAAATGACATGTGGCTTTGGCATGTTTTTTTTGGTGTCGCGGGCTCGAACAACGACATCAACGTTCTCGATCATTCAATCACCTGCTTTTGACGATTGGATTAATGAGACCGGATCCGACTCGTCTTTTAAGTTTAGAGGTTTACAAGCGTGGATATTATTTGGACGGTTAAATATATCTAGATTTCTTCACGATTGTCAAGTCCCTCTCTGAACTAATTGGTCTTAAACGCTAGACCTACAAAAAAGCTCATGAGGCGGAGAGAAAAGATATTGAACGAGCCTTCGAGGTCTTGAAGGCTAAGTGGCACATTTTAGATCGTCCGTCCAAATGTTTTTCTCAAACAAAAATGAGGAATATCATGTATGCATGTATTATTCTTCATAATATGATCGTAGAGGACAATAGGTTTGCGATTTGTCATTACAACCTGGACGAGGAGGTGCCTATGTACGAAAAAATTGATGAAGAAAGGAATTGAAGAAACCTGCAAGAAATTCGAAGCCGAGAAATTCACAATGCACTAACGGCGGATTTTATTGAACATATCTTCAGTTGCTCAAATAATTAGTAATTTGTTCGTAGTGTTGTCTTTTTATGGATGTAATTTTTTTAAATGAATGTAACGTTTTTAATGAACTATTCTCCTTTCGTTTATTTTAAATAATTAAATAATTACATTTTATTAATTTAATTTTAGAAGATGTATATTTAAAATATTAAAAACGAAGGTTTGAAGCCCAGTTTGAAGCGTTGGGGCTTCAAACGCATTTCTACTGAAACTGTAAGGTAAATTAAAGCTGACGTAACAGAGAAAAGGTTTGAAGTTCCGGGGCTTCACGGGTATTTCCAGTACCCTTAGACATTACATACTACGTTTTAATTATTTTTCAATGTGTATGTCCTTAAAGTTTTATAGATACTAGGTATATTTTATTTTTAAATTATTATGCAATAATTTAAATCTGAATGGAACAACTCCATTGAGTGTGACCTAAACGGATAAACATAACTCATGCAACTTTGAGTGAGTGACTCTATATATATAAGACGTGATAATCTAAAACATAGTCTTTATTGTTATCTTGCTCATTGTCTAAGTCTTGAGATTTATAGTAGTTTTCCAAGAACGACTTAGGAGCTGTTTGTTGCAGCCTATTAATGCTTCATATGTCAGAATGGTTCACCACTTAATGGTTCAGACTGTTTGTTTCAACCTCTTAATGGTTCAGATGTCTGAATGGTCAAGAGATTTGCCTCTGAATAGTTAAGTATTATACAGAGTCTGAATGGTTAATACCTCTTATCTGAATTAATCAGACATTGCCTCTGAATAGTTAAGCAATATACTAGCTCTTAATGGTTCAGACCTTTTACTCGTTCAGCACTTAATGGTTCAGACCTCTTACTGGTTCAGCACATACCTATTCGGAAGTTGCCAAACAACCCCTTAATCATAAATCATTCCATTTGGTCATTAAGTAATACTTAATTCTGAGTCAAGGTCATTATAAATAAGAATTTTGTACACTTAAATATTATACTATCCAGATTATCAAAAGTGCGAGGTCATTATATTCATGTCCTTACTATTTAATCATACATTATCCCAATAGGCATTATCCTAATTATTTCTAACTTATATTAGCAACTTTATACAATGTGTTATCATCTCTTTGGCTTCATTTATGGCATATTTTGTAAGGAGTAGCTATATATAGAAGCCATTTTTAAGTTGTACTCATACTTTAGAAATAAATTATATGCTATATTTTATATTTTAATTGCTTTATGTCCATCCGGGTAACTTATTTGGTCATTATGATTTAAAATATGTACTTACACTTTTTAATATGTATTGGTTTAAATTTTAAAAATAAAGATTATAAAAAATTAAATTTTCTATCATTATTCATTTTATATGAATATTGGTTTAGAATTAACAATAAAATTTATATTTCAAAAAAACTATAGACAACAGTATTGTATTTTCCGTGTGAAAAATAAATTAAAATATAATTTAGGGACAAAAATACCGAGTAGAACTTAAAGACTTGCTTCATTGCCATTTGTAAAAAAATTAAATACTACCAGAAATCAATAAGCATGTAATTAAATACTACCAGTAATCAAAAAGAGGCAAGTAATTAATGCTAGTGTTAAATTCCCTTAAGTTTCATGTATGGGTCAATGGGAGGGAGATTACAACTAAGAGCCTGTTTATTAGAACTGGAAAAAAAGAGTTGGATGTTGGAAAAAACTGGAAAAAATTAGAAAGAACTGGAAGAAACTGGAAGGAACTGGAAGAGACTGGAAGAAACTGGAAAAAACTGGAAA